CACACATGTTTAACACACAAACCTGCTTATTTAGGCTGGGAAAACAGAAAACACACTGTTCCATCTTGTGTTTGTAAGATTCTGATGTTGCCATGATAAATTGAGACCTGACTATCCTTATGTTCCCTCCCTGTATTGCAGAACAAACTATGCATTATGTTCAACTAAAGAATGATTTTAAAGGTTAAGGTTTAATGTTAATTTTGATAAAGTACACCTCACAATTTTTTTTATCTACCGAGGGATATCAGTCTGGTCACCACACCCTGCATCGTGCCTCGAGCCAGAACCAAATATGATTGTGTAATAAGACTTATTTCAGTGACGCATGTGAAAGAAAGGAGCTCATTGGACAGTTTAGTGCTTCTCTAATTCATTCTGCAGAAATCCTCCATGTTTTTCAGTCCCCTGTGATGTTTCTTTACTTTTTTCCTCATAAGAAGCCATATTTGTTATGATTCGGACGGACCATGCGTGTTCCTGATTGGCTAATCCACCTGTCAATCACGACTCACATCTTTGTAAAGTTTAGGAGCAGTGAGATCCCAGGCAACGTCAGGACAGCATTTTCGTATTTATTATCATCTATTATCAACCTTCCCTGGGGGTGTGATGCCAAACAAAAGCACTAATTTGTTAGAAGCTCTGTTAGTCTCAAATTAGACTTCAATCTGATCTTTATTTTGATACAGTCTGACCAGAAATAAAAGACCAGAGCTGGCTTGGTTGGGTTTCAGTCAGTCAGTCTCACCTTTTTGTTGAAAATCAAACACCCAAACAGGATCACGAACTCTCATTTTGGTCACAAACTCCTGAAAATGTGTTGTTTAAATACATTTTGTATTTTATCATTTCAGTTTTCAGCAGTGGAATAGTGGGGATTTTTTTTAAGTGGGGGCACATGATTCGTGACGTCACCTCCCCAACTTAGTTTTTAGTACAAACATAAATGCGCCGGCCCAGTCAAAATCTGTAATATTTTATATTTTTTTACTCAAAATGATGAATAATCATGTTATTAACATTAACATTGTTCATAATCGCCTACAGAACATAAATCATAGGCTACAACACATGAACCATGACTGAAACAGAACTAAACCAGGACTGACGCAGGACTGAAACAGGACTAAACCAAGACTGAACCAGGACTGAACAAGGACTGAAACAGGACTGAACCAGGACTAAATCAGGACTGAACCAGGACTGAACCAGGACTGAACCAGGACTGAACCAGGACTGAACCAGGGCTAAACCAGGACTGAAACAGAACTAAAACAGTATTAAAACAGGACTAAACCAGGACTAGACCAATTCTGAACCAGCACTAAACCAGAACTGAACCACGACTGAACCAGGGGGACTAAACCAGGACTGGACCAGGAATAAAACAGAACTAAACGAGGACTAAACCAGCACTTATTTTGGACTTGAGACCGAGAGAGAGAACCCTGTGGGATGCGGAAGCTCTGCACCGTTCCTTTCTCCTGCGGTCACCCAACGGTCTACAGGAACGCACTTCTGAGCCCGTCCAGACACTCAGTCCTGGTTCATTTCTGGTTTAGTCCTGGTTTAGACCTGGGTTAGAGTCCTGGTTCAGTCCTGGTTCAGTCCTGGTTCAGTCCTGGTTCAGTCCTGGTCCCCGGATGTCACAGGTCACTATAGGACAGTAGTGCAGATATCATGAGTGTATGCAGTTTGTTTTCACCATTGCCAACACCTCCAGTTTGACATTTAAGTTGTAGCTATTTTTTATATTTGTTATTTTTTTATAACTCACGTCAGGAGAAGTGGATGGACGGTATACCCCCGGGTACCACGCCCACTACACCCCTGGTTTTCAGACTATCTTAAAAGGTTTTTTTGTCTCTCTTTGCTAATGTGTACATTGTGTCACCATGGTAATCGCTGAACATACCGCCAATAGAGATGCATACAGAACACCCCAGCGTGACGTCACTGCAAAGTATCAATATTGTGATGTGGATTTACACTGTGTTAAAAATTGGATACGATATCTGTAAACAGAAGTCAGTCAGGAATCTTCTGAATGAACAAAGTGGAGTCCATTTTGAGGCCGAGAAGAATTCACATCTGTGTAAACCTGCAGCTTTAGTTTCTGTCTGAATGCCACTTGAATCTTTTAAGCTCCATTCTCAAAGGGAGGGGCAGAGGAGGAGGGCACTGGACTATGTTTGGGCAAATATTCAGCCAAGGCCAAAACAGAACGCAATATTTCACTCCTCTGATGTCCACTCAGATATATGACTCTGCTCCACACTGCACTGAGTGTTTACAAATAAGGAAATGAACAATTCACTCTGTGTATCATTTTAGAAGTGATGCAATTTTTAAAGTGCATTCAGTCCTCCGTCGCTCATGGTTTTTGACTGCCCTTCTCAAAGTGTGGCTGCGGGCTTAGGAATGTATTTACAGACAAAATAGTGAAATAAAAACACCAGCTCACATTGACCACCTGAAAATGTGCTGTTTAAATCAATGGAGTTTTTTTTTTCTTGAGTTTTCAGACAATCTTAAAACTTTGTTGATAGTGTTTGCTAAAGTGTGAATTGTGTCTGCATGGTGACAGCTGAAAATTTCACCATAGAGATACATGTAGAACACCCCCAGCGTGATGCCAAATGTGACTCTCGCCCCCCCCATCTGACAGAATGAGCCCATTACATCTTAGATTCTGAAAACCACCAATTAGTATTTCATTACTTTGGATCTCATCTGCAAATTTATTCAGTTTAGGTTTGTCTGAAAACCTTATTACACTATGTAGGACACTGTATAGTTAGTCTACAAGTTCTTTTTTACATTTTACAATAGTTTCTGTGCAAAGCAGCACCCTAGGCTAGGCTAGGCTAGGCTAACTGTGTCGCAAAGCTAACAGGTACTTTTATTAAAATTGTAAAATATAAAATAAACATTCTATTACAATTCAAATGAACTAAAATAAACATGAACCAATTTTTATTTGTAAAACACTTCAGTTTGTGGTGTTATTTTAATATTTATTATACCTCAAAATTAGCATTAGCATTAGCATTAGCACTGAGATACAAACATCTCTATAATCACAGAAGTATCCATGTACTTTTTAAAATGTTGTCAGAAACATCCACCTGCTTCCCATCCTCTGCCTTTTATGATTTCAATAAAAGTGACTGTTATCTTTAAATATTTATTAATTTTAGCATGATTTGTCAAAAAACACAGAGATAAACTGGACAGGCAGTAGTGTCTCTAACGGGGAAGTGTTAGCGACAGTGTTGTGCACAGAGCCTATTACACTTTTGAAATTCCCAGCATTAATTTACATAATCATCACAGGCAGTTTTATTTGTCCAGTTAAGTCTCAAGTCAAATCCCACAGCATCCTTAGATAACACTTGTTTGCTTACTCTGGCCATTCCCTCCAATGTCACGTAAGCACCATTAGCGCCAGTGTTATTTAAGTGGCATGCCCAGTGTGTGTACAGGCATGTGCTCCAATGTGGCCATCCAGTTTGTTTGAGTCGTGTTTGGTAGAGCTATGAAGAGGAATTCTGTTTACAGTATGTGGCAGTCTACTGGGAGGCATAAGGATGTGGCTGAGGGATTATTGTAGAAATAGATTTGGATTGCAGTTGATAACTCATTGTGGGATAAGGCCAGTTGTTGGTACAAATTATGCTATCTCCAAATACTGTCATTAACATGTTTGGTAACACTTATAATAACAATAACTACAATTTTAATAGCTTTAAAGCAGACCTATTATACAAAATCAACTTTTCAAAGGTTTTAACCATGTTATAGTTTTTTCCCATCACGATTTTTACTCACCTAAATTGTACTTGGAATGATTTGTGCATGTTTGAGCAGTCTTTAATCTCTTATTTTCAAGACACCTTTTTGCCAATCAGCTCCTGTTCACCTCCACTAGCATACGCCCACTGCTCTTACTTTGTCCTGAAATTTAATTTTCTTAATCAGTGATACATATTCAGCAGTGATGCGTAGTCACTCTGGTACAACTGAAACAATTTTACTCGATTGAGCATCACAGTTTTGTAATGTGGACGTCAGTGGACTTTTTAGATGAATTTTGTGTTTTAAATGTCTACATTAGTAACTAAGTGTGTAAGTAAGTTTTTCATTTTATTTATACAGCGCTTTTCACAGACATATGTCACAAAGACGCTTTACAGAGCATTATTCATTCACTCCACACCTGGTGGTAGTAAGATACTATTGCAGCCACAGTTGCCCTGGGGCAGACTGACAGAAGTGAGGCTGCCAATCAATGCCATTGATCCCTTCGACCACCACCACCATCACTCACACACACATACCACTTTCATACTAGCCAATGTGGATGAAGTGCCTTGCCTAAGGACACAATGACAGTTTTTGCGACTGGCGCCCCCCTGTGGCTACTGTGGCAAGTACTAACCAGGCCCAGCCTTGCTTGGCTTCTGAGATCTGATGGGATCAGACTTTGACAAGCCGGTATGTCCACAATTAATAAATTATAACATAATGAGTGTCATAGATTATAACTATACTGCACCTGACACCAGCACAATAGGTCCTCTTTAATAAAGAATGAATAAAGTATTTATTAAAAACAAACAGTTTGTTAAGAATGAGCACAGTTAATACCTTAAAGCCTAACTCTTATCTCCTTATCTAGTTACTAAGCCTGAATCATTTTTAATAAATTCTTCTTAATGTTTCATTATGAATTAAGTCTTTGTTCTGCTTTATGAAGACTAATTAAAGTCTAGTCTTTATGACATGGTACCAAATCTTCCACTGATTCTAACCACAAGTAACACATTTTGCAATCTCTCGTTGCATATCTTGGTTTCATAACAGTCCATGTTAATGTCCTTATTAGTAAGTCAGTAACATTTTTGCACAATTTGAAAGTTTATCTCACGATATCAGTCAAGATAACGTAAATGGTTTCTAACGATCCTGCCTTTTTCTGTTTTGATTTTTTGCAGGGTTGCCAAGGCGATGAAACTAGCGCTGTACGAGACTCCCACGGGATGGAGATACTTTGGGAATTTGATGGACTCCGGCCGGTGTTCGCTCTGTGGAGAGGAGAGCTTTGGGACAGGTATGGTGTGACTCCGCCCCTCCCTTACCCCTCACACTGGTATCGGCTAAAATAATGGTTCTCAAACTGTGAAACGCAGGCTCTGTTCAGGGTACGATGATTCCTCTCTATTTCAGATTTGGAGTAGATACTAAATTTTCAAACTTTACTAAGGAATAGACTCGATTCTCAATACAGATTCTGATACCACGATGATAATACTAATACTACAACACTGTTTATTTAGACAATAGAATGTAATTTTAACATTAAATCGTACTTCCTTTTATATTACCATGTGGTCTTATATCATCCATAGTGGTCCATGGGCGTATACTACTCTGTGTGCTCTTATATTTGTTCTGATACAGCTCATTGTAAAGCTACTGAGGAAAGGTTCGTTTCTTTCCTGTGAATGTGACTTTTCTTTAGTTTTGATACTAGTTTTAGTATAGAGAAATATCTGATTTTGGATACTTTTGAAAACCCTGGTTTGGAGTCATTTTTATCCACATTTTTGTTTCCATTCGGTTTAGTACTTGTTTGGAATCACTGTAGCTTTTGGTGAAGTTATATTTAATATTAGTTTAACCCTAGTGAAGACCTGGTATTCATGAGTTTCAGCTTCCTGTAGGTGACATTTTGAGGACTTTTGCCTATTTAAAACATAAAATATATTGTTTTGAATTGTCCAATGCTCTGGCAGCGATGTAAGATTTTCATCCTTCTACAACCCAATCCATAGATAGTACTGGTTTAGATCACAAGGTACTCAGCATCGCAGATTTTTTCCTATTTTTCTTGATAAAAGAATCGTGTATAACCTATAGGCCTAATGTATAGTCTTATATATAGAAAAATCAAGTTTATGATTCATGTTAGTCAGTATAGTCCTACATATTGATACTGAATTCATCTGCTTCATCTCTAAAAATTTCACATTCACATTTTGTTTAGTTTAATTGGTGAAGTAAGGATTAAACAATGAGGAGTATATTTGCGTTACACTGTTTTAACACACTGACGCAGAGTCTAGAACAGTATAACGCACCGCTCCAAGTTGTTTAATCCGCTAATACCATGATCCCACCGACTGAAAATAGTTCACTTTTAAATCTGACAACCTTTTGGCTGTCCAACGCATTAGTTATTTCTGTTTAGTTTAAGCTAGTCCCTTCTAACCATAGACTGTATAAAGAAGTGGACTAAGCGAGTGCGACATCGCCCACAGTGTTTGGCGCCGCTCGAATGAAGCTCGCGATGTTAACGGTTACAGGAGTGAACGTGGAGCCAGGATCTATATTAGGAACAGGATTTCTATGCACTGACAAAATAGCGGAACAAAAACCCAGAATCAGTGTAGAGCGGGTTAATACGGACATTTTAAGACCAAAATGACGAGGCTCACAACAGCATTTACAGAGAGAGGGGTGACAGTTTTCCAATGTAAGTCAATGGGAGCCAGGGTCAGAAGGAGCCGGAAGAGCCGCATGTGAACTTCCTGCAGTAGTTCGTTTGTTATGGTGATGCTCACGGCGTAGTGATATGGAACAGTGATTGATGCTGTGTTCTATTGAGCTCGGGACTCGGGGAAAACCGACCTCCACCTCGAAAAAGTGCAATGGAACAGCTAATCAAATCAGGGCTCCGAAACACAAACTCGGTCTAGTTCAGAGCAGACTGAGCCGGATGCATTTCTGAATATGTAATAGTCAAACTGCCATAATTGAGTCACTGAGAGCAAACGTTAGATAACAGACTCTATTTATTAGCAGGTGCCAGAGAGACCTAGCCAGATTTATCAGCTGGTTTCACTTTGTGGAAACCGTCTGACCTCGCAGCATTAGAATTCTTTCGCTTGATGGTAGGCAGGTACTTTTTTCATTTAACCAATCGCTGCTACTTGGTCGTGACATATGTAATGCGCCGCTAACAGGGCTAACTGGTAGATTAATCGTTTCCCAAATCCTGTAAGAAGAAGCACAATAACCTCTTTCCCCTTGATAAAATTCACCAAACATTCTCTTTGTTCCAGCTTTAGATCTCGGGATTCGTTGCCAACACAGAATGTCTGGCTCTTTTCGCTCTGATTGGCTGGTGCACTGAACTCGACACTTCCGCAGTTTTTTGTGAAAAACCGTAAAGGACTTAGTGTATTCCGATTCCGATTCCTGACCTAGTCGTTGAAGAGAAATGAAATTGAGCAGAGGCACTAGAGAGATACCTGATTTATTTTTATTTTTTTTAATTTACAATTTATTCAGTGCTTTTTTGTCCACATAAATCACAATATACATGCCCTATTAGATATAGATACCTGATGTTAACTACATAAGTTAACAAAATAAACATTAAACTTTCTCGGGCATCCATATTTTCCCAAATGTTGCAATGAAACGCATTTACTAAGGATGTCGGGAGAACTGACTCGGATTTATCGACTACCGATATTCAATAACCATAACTGTTGCCGGTTCTTCCTGCATGTCTCTGTGTGCACTGCAGTTAGTGTTAAATTCTCACTGAACATGGTACAAATGGTTAAATCCACCTGTCACAAACTTCTGGCACTGTTGACCCTCACCGATGTCAGTTGTTTGGAAACCCTGGTCTTGAAGAAGGTCCTTAGTACATGTGTGGTGTGGAGTGAAGCATCATGGGAGTTCTTTCTATAGCAGCTGTTGAGGTGTATTTGTAAACAAAAAGGGTGTTGTTGCTAGAATACTGTCAATGATGTGTATAATCCACTCTTGAGTTAAACTGCAATCACCAAAACTAGAAACTCCAATTTAATCAGGAATGTCCAGAGTTTAAAACATTTATATTTCATGCAGCTCGTATTTAAAAGTAGAGCCCGACCGATATGGATTTTGCTGTGGCCGATATGAAACCGATATAATGGGAGTTGGAGCTGCCGATAGCCGATATAATCGCCGATATATTTAGTGATGTAAAAATTCACTGTAAATATTCAATTGTTTAAAAAACTTAGGTTTGGCTCTGGTGGATTTTAAATTGGATTTATTTAGGCAACATTTATTGTTATTCTGCCTCTTTACATCATATTTACAGACAGTAGGTTGGCTTAATGGCATTTTTGCATCACATTCTAAACACTAGTGATGGGTATTCCAATTCTTTTTAGAGAACCGGCTCTTTTGGCTCGGCTCACTAAAAGCTGCTGGTTCTTTTGGCTCCCAAGTGGCTCTTCAGATTGTTTTGTTGCAAGCAGGTCTAAAGCACGTCTAAACCAGGACTGAAAAAGGACTAAACCGGGACTTATTTATTTTATGCTAAACTACAGTCAAATATGCTCGTTTTTTTTATTTTTTTAATCCTACGTACACGCAAATTTCTCAAAGTTTCATTTTTAGCCGCTGCCGCTGTCAAACCACGAATCTGCCGATAAACCACGATAGCCGATATGCCTAAAGTTGCCCATATCAGCTGATAATATCGGCCAACCGATATATCGGTCGGGCTCTATTTAAAAGTATTGAGGTACTGTTAAAATTTTACACAAAAAAGAAAACGTCTCATTCTCATTTCTCACTGAGCTGATTAATGATCCTCATCTCCAACTTCCAATTTTACAGTGAGCTTTCTTCTGCATTTTTCAGACATTTTAAGTCAAAACCATATGTCCTTTTTACACATGAGGACAATGAATAACTGTGATATCTCGTATGTATGTTTATAGATGTTAAATCAAAATCTTACATACAGTTCCTTTAATCAGATTCATGTCTTTTCTTTTGACTTTGTTCCTCTTAAACAGCCGTAGTCATCTTGGTTTTTCAGATCCGTGTGAGAGTGAGCGTACGTTGCCGCAGGAGACTGTGTGTGCAGCAGTGATCCGGGAGCTCGTCTCCTTTTATAGCAGAAGAATGGGGATTATTTACACTTGTAGTCAGGGTCACAGCCCCCACATCTCTCAGCGCTCGCAGGCCCACGATGTAGCCGCTCTGGAAGACTACGAGACACAACTATTGAGCAACACACAGAATACAGTCAGGCCTTTAAAGGATAAGACTCCCCCATTTATTTTGTGTTTTTGATTTTAGACTGGTGAAGGTAATTGGGAGTAACAATGCCAGGAACATGGGTAAAGGAACTGTATGTAAGATTATGAATTTTCAATAAACATGACCTAACTGTGTCCCGAGGTATGAGGTAAACATGCTCAAATCAAATATGGCATTTACTGATAACAAAGGTAATGCTTAATTTTTTAATAATTACATAAACATTGGATTCTAATTTGAGTTGCCAGTTTCAATAACGAAATCCAGTTGGGTTAAACCTAAGACGACTCTCTCTAATCTGAATGCTCCCTCCCTACAGTAAACCCTGCAGCCAGTCATTAATCAGTGTCTTTGCTGTAACTGTAGATGCTGAAATTGAGGAAAACTTATACGTGTCCTCTCTCTGCAGGTTAAGGTTCTGGCAGACCTGGTTCAGTCCTGATTGCAGTAGTATACAGTAGTTCTAAAACTGTAATATGAGGGCAGGATACATTTCCTTTTAAAGTGCATAGGTTTTCATGGTTAAACTTAGTCTTAGGCTATGTTCAGACTGCAGCCTCAAGTGATCCAAATCCGATTTTTTCGCCCCTATGTGACCTGTATCTGATCTTTTAATGACAGTCTGGACGACACAGATACGATTTTTTCAAATGCGACCCAGGCCACTTGGATCTGTGCTCCTAAAACCGATACTTATCCGATCCTTTGACATGCGACTTCAGTCTGAACGGCCAGGTCACATTCATCTCACCTACACGTCAGGCTCGGAGTCTAGTCAATGGAGGGAAAGCGAGGTTTGCAAGTTTATTAATAGTTGGGGGATCGCTGTATTCAGGCCAAATTGGAGGAGTCTTATTGGCACAGGGCAGTTTTTGAAATGATTGCCAAAGAAATGGCCAAGCGCGGCTACAAGTGGTCCTGGCTCCAATGTCAACGAAAAATAAAGAGCCTGCGAGCCAAATACAAGGAGGCTAAAGACTCAAATAAACGAAGCAG